CCCCGATTTGGAATGGATTTGTCAGGAAAAGTATGTCATTGGAAATGTGGAAAAATTTTGCTGTCATTGAGGGGAAGAAAGGAAGGAAGGAAGGAAGGAAGGAAGGAAGGAAGAAAAGATTTACTCTATTTCGGTTTTTTCAAGATGACCAATACGTTACGCCTAGAAAAAACTTGGTTTTATAGAAGATGATTGTACAATTTACTCATTTTATCCGTACTTTTTTCTTTTAATACAGTTGCGGGTTAACGATTAACTTTTAACAGAGGTGCTCATAATCGCATACAATGTTACCAGCAATTTCAGTCGTTTGAAGTACAATTTTATGACTATTAACTTTCTCACTGTCCTATCGGTTTCTCACAACATTAAGAAGATTTCTTGGACTTTTTGCAAACATAAAAAAATGGTTTACCGTGGCATACAGTATTTCTTTTAACTTCAAACTTACTGTTCAGTTGATTGTCTGAAATGGTTAAAATTTTGACTACTCTGAAAACTGCAAAATTTCAAAAGTTTTTTTTTTCTTACTTTATACTCTTTATTGTGGCTTTTTTTAAAATATTTTTTATGAATGCTTCTTCAGTAACTTTGATACATTCTTCTGCAAGATAGTCTTTGTTATTTCTTTTTTCCGTTGCTACTTCTTTTAACACTTTTTATATGAATAAAAGATGACAGAGGAGACAAGAGACGAGCGAAATAAAAAAATAAAAAATGAATAAATTTTTTAAGGTTTCAAGTGTTTCGTCAAATATTGTTTCGAAGAGAGATCTGTCTTAAAGTTGTCTGAGTTGTCAGTCAAAACGACTTCAGAGCGCTGCCTGATTATCACCGTTGTTTCGTTTTATCTTGCTTGTTTCTGTTTTCCAGTAGTAAAAAGTACTTTTTTCTTTTTTAAGCAGCTAAATACTGTGGACATGTATTTATCGTTGTCTACTGTGGCTATCAGTTTAAAGATGGTGATAGTAGTAGCGATAGATGGGGAGGAGTGGGAAAAGAGGGTGTTGTTGTCAGTTTTCCTGTTGGCGATTAAACAAATTGAAAAATGAGACATTGGAAAGTGATCGTTGATAGTGATTTTTAGATTTAGAAACATTTAAAGAATAACGCTAGAAGAGTAGTTTTGGTGAGTGGGAATTAGAAAATGAGATTGAAGCCAAACGAATAACAATAATTAGAAGTGGGTGCTTGTTGATGGGGGGGGGAAGGAAGGCTGTAACAACAACGGTATTTGGTGTTGTTAAGCAAAGGCGAGAAAGCATCAATAAATTGTTATGTTGATTATTTATAAGCGTTGTATGTTTATTTTCTTTTCTTTTTTTTTTT